AAAAAAACACTAAGTCTTCAACTCTAATAAACAAACCATGGAAGTTCACGCAAAGCAGTTTCTTCAACTGCTACAATAATTCACTGACCCAAAGAAGATAATGAGCTAGATGCTCTGCTAGATTCCCCATACCTACAAATCCAAGAGTCTGAAGAGGTGCAAAGAGATGATTATAATCCAATGTGGCAAGTACTATAACAGATGCAAAAATAATTAACTTTGCCTGGAGAACCAGGAAAAAATACAAAAGAAATGAAACTTAGTTGGGCCTTATAAGATTGAAACTGTGCACAAAAGGTAGAAGAAAGGTTGTTAGGTCCCCCAAGGGCAGATATCCTAAACAGAATGCTATAGATGCTACCTATTGCTCAAAATAAAATATAACCTGAAATTTAAGGTTCTCCACTGATTCCTCTCAAATACTGCCCAACATCCAAACAGTAACGTTCAAACACATTTCTAGACAGCTATATTTTCTTCTTCATTCTTCAACTCTTTCTCAGATTGCTCAATTTTCCTCCATTAATCTATGCTTACTAACTTTCTCACCAAACACTCAAGTGACCTCAAACAAGACTCAGCCACACTAGACTTGTTGAGTTTCTTTGCACAGATCTCTAAGTTGATTACATAGGAGCCCTGGTGGTATAGTGGCTACACATTGGACTTCGATTCACATAAGCAGCAGTTTGAAACCAGCAGCAGCTCTGAGAGAGAAAGACTGGGCTTTCTCTCCTATACAGTTTGTCTTGGAAACCCACAGGGGGTGGGGGTCATGATGAGTCAGCATCAACTCAATGGCAGTGAGCTTGAGTTTGGGGTAAGTTGATTCTGTGACTCTGGATAGCTACTAAGAACTGGAAAGATATTAATGATTAGTTATGACAATAATTATTAGAACTCACTACTGTATAAATATATGTAAATTCTTATCACTAGTCAATGCAAATTTTTCAGTATTTGGCACTAAACTAAGACTAGCCCTCTTAAATTTTCTTAGAGGAGGCTTGGTAGCTAGATACGAAGGATTTAAAGGGATTCCTTGTTGCAGTGTACAAAATGCCCCTTATATCTAAGAATTCTTATACAAATGAAATTAAACAGGATATTATCCAACTTACCAAAAACTCAAATTTGCAACAATCTCAATTATTGGTATTGTCAAACTTGAAAGCCTGATATGTTCATTCCAATCATCAGCTTTCAAGAATTTGCTGTAGAAGAATACATGCTTATTTCTATGTCTTAAAGTATTGAAGTGAATTCATCCACTGATCCAATAGCAAATGGGGGAGGGGACCGGGACAGTAAGCAGAAGATACACCAAGTGCCTGGGACAAGAGACACTCCAGCTAAATCATGACCAAGTAACCAGTCAAGGGCACAATCCCCGAGCCCTGTAGACAATCAGACACGAGCCTACGGTTCCCAACACAACAGTCAGGGACCTGCCCTAGAGCCACCCCCACTGCCTGAGGGCTTCCACAAAGCCCCAGAAGCCCTTCTCAGGGGCCATACCTGGATTTCCCGCAGGTACCTACAGAGAAGGTGAAATTCCTGCTTAAATCATAGCCTGCACAACTGCAAAAGTATTTCATATATTGACTGCTATATCCTGCCTAGCAAATTGAATATAACTAATCACGTGCTACATTTAAAAAACTGGCCATGGGGCAATACTCAGAAATTAACCTGCCATTATAACATTAGATGAGGGAAAATCAAATTTCAACTTCTAAAAAACCCCAAAGTACCAAATGATCAAGAAGGATGTATTTGTTTTCATTCTCTGTAGAAAAAGGGCTCAACAAAAAGTGATTATCAATATGCTTATTTCTTTACAGTAATTACATTCCTATATTCATCACTCATACAGTATGTAATAAACTCCTGCATTTAACCTGTGGTACCAATCAAAAGAGCCTGGTTGTAAAGACTCACAACAACCTCAACTATAGGAAATCTTTTTTTCTAATACAGCCTTTTGCTTGCCACAAAACTAATACTATAAAAATCAGGAGACTTGCATTTAAATCGCTCATGAAGAGACTAAGGCATGAATGTCTGCTCAAATTACTAAATTTCCAATGTAATTTATAATATACAGTTCAACCAGAATTTTTTTCATACATGTATCTTAAGGAAGATAAATGACAATAAAAACTAATGCTATCAGAGATTGAGGTTAAAAAGACAATCAGCATGAATGTCCTAAGGTTAGTCCATATAAAACCCCACTGTCACCAAGCATTCCAATAATTCATACCGTATATACTCAAGTATAAGCCAACCCGAATACCAGCCGAGGCATCTAATTTTACCACAAAAACTGCATTAAATATGTGTTGAAAAGCTCGGCTTATACACGAGCATATACGGTATTTGGTATTTTAATGTTAATATGGCCTATTTTATCCATAAGCAAATCTCTCATATTCAACTATACATATCAACTGATCCTCAAAGACCGATAGCTCTTTTGTAACTGTGTCTTCCTCTTGTTCCTCCTGGTACTTGATAGAGACAAGATATACAATTTATATTTCTCCAAAAATTTACCTTTTCTAGCTAGAAACCCTCTATTGTAGTCCTCATAGATTATCTTTGAAAAACCCACCTAAATATTTTCCTGCCCTTAGGTCAGATGGATTTATGCAAAATTTTCTCAACCAATCTCTAAACATACCCTAGCTTACACTTACACACACACACACACACACACACACACACACACAGTGACATGATCTT